TCTTTAATTCTAGGTTGGATAAGCTTCCTTCTAAAGAAAAAAAGAAAGAGGAAAGAGAAAGGGAAAGGAAAGGGTCCAAGTATAGAAAACTAGGACACATTTAGACAGCCATTTGACGTTATTTGTCTCCAATCTGCATATGACACAAGATAGGTTAGTGTAAATTTGTTCTGTCTGTGTAGCTGCACCCTGTGTAGCTGCACCCTGCACCTTGTTAGCAGAGCTGCTGATCGAACAGTTCATGATGGGGCAAATGAAAATGTAGCAGGAACCTCATCCATCAATCTCTCTTCTGGACAAGTGCTGGGAAGAAGGCAAATTTTGACAGATGGCTAGAGCAGCAGGTTTTGCCATCTGTTCGGAAGCTGTAAATATACGCACTGCCCAGCATTTTTGGAGCATCACACATGTCAGATGTATGTAGTCTCAACTGGCAGCCAGGACCCTCTGCAAACATCTGGTCTATAGTTTCTCTAGTGAGTTTGGTACTTGTCTAGTCAACCAAAGAGGTCTGGCTCTACCCCATTATTAAAGCAACGTTACGATTACTAGAGAGAGCATGATGTCTCAGTGGTTAAAGACACTGAGCTGGTCAACTGGAAAGCTGACATCCTGGGTTCAAGACCAAAGCATTGTGCAATGGGGTGAACTCCCATTCTTGCCCCAGCTCCTGCCTACCTAGCAATTTGAAGCCTGCTAATGCAAGTAGATAAATAGGTACCACTTCCATGGGAAGGTAAAAGCATTCCATGCAGTTTGGCATATAGTCATATTGGCCACATGACCACTGAAGTGTCTTTGGACAATGATGGCTCCTTTGGCTAAGAAACAGAGATGAGCACTGCCCACTAGAGTCTGAACTGGACTCTACATCTGGACAGGGGAATCCTTTACCTTTACCGTAATGATCACTAGAGAAAGACATGGACCAGAATCATTCTTACAGGCAGATGTTTCTAGAGCAGTGTTTCCCAAACTTAGCCACATCCAGTTGTGTAGATGCCAACTCCTAAAATTTCATCATTGGCTGTGCTGGTGGCTGCATTCTGGGATTTGAAGTCCACAAACCTGCAAATGGCCAAGGTTGGGATACCATCTTCCAAAATCCTCTTGATGTTATGGCTTGTTCTGACTGAGGCTTCCCGAGACCGTAATTACGGACACATTTAGTTAAAACAACTCGTTTTATTTCAAGGCTGAGAATTATGTTCATTTCCAGCCAGTAATGAGTCCCAAACAGTCCCTCGAGATAAGCACCCACCTTTCTTTCCTTTGAATTGCTTCCAACAACTAGAGTGCCAAATGAACTATAAAAACCAACCGAAGTACAAAATCCACACAGAGCTTCAAGGATTAATCCGAACAGAATGAACAACTTTACTTCCTATAAAGGTTTCATCATCTTTGCCTGTCCTTTATACCTTATGGGAGGGGCAATCACCTCTGAGCCTTACTCCCAAGTCGCCCCTTTTGTCTCAGCTGTTCTTGCCTTCTGGCAGCTCTGCGCGCATACACACACTGGGATCAGGCTACCCTTGTTCCTCGGCCTCGCTGCTGCCAGACTCCAGAAGCTCCGGAGTCACCACCCCACTCCCAAATAGTCTTGGCCCCATCTCTACATCAGATGCAGGACCCTCATCCGAATCCTCTCCAGACTCCCTGACTGGTCCCCGTTCTTCCCCACTGTCTGCCATCTCTGCAGGTTGCCTGCAAACCACAACATGGCTTTCTTTAGTGATCTGGACACTGTTGTTTTCCCTCCTGAGGGTCATATCAATCACACAGAACAAATCGAAGTGTCTAAGGAAAGATAGAGAAGGTGCCAAATGGAGCTGGCTAGCCAGCACCTTATTGTGTTTTCATCATGGTTGAATTAATCATGCAAATAACAAGGCTTGTGTCAGGAGAAGAGGGAAAATGTCTACCCTGGATCAGAAAAAACAAAGCAAAACCCAAAGACAGTCTCAGCGATGAGTTTTGGATGAGAGAACACAGCTGCATCAGACAGAGATATCCCTAGCAGATGGTTAGAAAGGCATCTATTAGCCAAGATTAGGAAGCCCTTCAACCATTCACAACAAATTCAAGCTCTATAGTCTTTTCTAAATCAAGACATTATTCTTGTACTAGGAAGGTCATTGTGAGGCTTAGAAAGGAGATATGATGTATATCTCCCCCATCCCACCGTTTGAGGAGATAAAGCCCATAAAAATCTGTATCAGTAAAGGTGAAACTCAGTATCTCATCTATTTTTTTCCTTTGGAAAGATTCATCACACAAGAAAAAGCTACAGAAGACCCAAGGGAAATATAAAGCATTATCAAGAAGACAACTGATGATGGCAGAGGGATATAGTTGCCGATGGTTTTCTTACTTTTGCTGATAAGATTTGAAGTAGATAAAAGAATTCATGGTATTGAACTATGTAAGGCAGAATTTGAAATAGAATTGTATACAAGTGTTGAGTTGACCAAAAATGTTGGTTATAACATACAGATGGAATCGTAGGGGAGGACCAGGCTGAGCCCAAGGCAGAAGTCAAGTGCGTCATCAGCCTCGAGTCCCTTCTTACTCACAAGAGATCCAGGCCCTCTTGAAGACCATTGACTCTTATCTCCCACCAACTTGCTTTGACCATTAGAAGTTCAGATTCTTGTAGAGAGGGTTAGCATGCAATAAACCTGTATTCATTTCAACTGCCTGGCCTCCTGATTTCAGCTGCCTGGCCTCCTGATAGGACCAATGAGAAAGTGTGTAATTGCTATAATTGAAATTTACCTTATATTATACTCTTAAGGATTTTTTTTTTTACTTTTACCATTGGTTTATGACACCTGAACAGTTATCCAGAATGTATGCAGGTACTTCAAATTTATGTTGGAAATATGAACAAGAAGGGTCACTAGGAACCCTTTTTGTTCATTCTTATTCAAGGGAAAATAACTCCCTTATGCCCTGGAAAGCTCTTTTTAGTTGAAGGCAATCGTGGAATTTAGTGCAGTAGCCTTCCCATGTTCATCTGTCCATGATGGCACCTTCAGCAATGTCTCATTCTACTCAACCTGTTAGCTCATGGTCCTTTTTTTGGTATCTAATCACCCACCATCAGAACCAAAGAATGTATCACCCCCTCCTTCCAGCACTGCAATATCATTGGACTCCATCAGTCCCAGCCAAGATAACAAATGACCAAGGCTGAGAGGCAATGTGGTCCAAACACATTTGCAAGGACACAGATTTCTTAACTTCGCCATGAAATGAAGAGGAGTGTGTGTCACCAAAATATCAACCATGTTAAGTGTTCTGTGCCAATTTTCTGGAAAATGGAGAGGTACTGAAGATTGGGAAGGAGAACAGAATAACAAAGTTGGAAGGGTAGAAGGGATCTTGGAAGTCTTCTAAGCCAACCCTCTGCTCAAGCATTCTACACCTATACCCATACAAATGGCTGCCCAGTCTCTTCTTGAAAACCTCCAGTGATGGAACACCTACCACTTTAGAAGGCAAGCTGTTCCACTGATTAATTGTTCTAACCATCTGGAAATTTCTCCTTAGTTCTAGGCTGTTCCTCTCCTTGATTAGTTTCTATCCATTTCTTCTTGTTCTGCCTTCAGTGCTTTGGAGAATAGGTTGACCCCCTCTTCTTTGTGGCAGCTCCTTAGATATTGGCAGCCTCTTAGATATTCATTAATCTATAATTAAAGATGGATGAAACTTCCCTTCCCTGTTTGCTGTGTTTTGTTAAAGATCACTTCACTCCTGCCCAGCGCATAAAATATTCTTCTGGATCTGCAAGCTTTTGAGCAGGGATTAATTGAATTGGCCAAGTGTGATTAAACACACAAGGAATTTGTCACTAAATGGGGTGCCATTCTAACTTCAGACCAATTTCTTCTCTGTTGTTTGTGTAAGCAGGGCCTCAAATAACAAAGGCACAGATTGCTACAAGGACTTAAACCTGGGTTTATTAACAAATCTGCTAAAGCACAATAAAACAGTTGGAACCAAAGAAAAAGAAAAATCCAGCCTGCAAATTCGCTTTTACAAATCGAAAACCCCAAATGTCAATTCTTTCTTTTACATCGCACCAAGGCAGAACGTCTTTAAAAAAGAAGAAGAAAAAAGGAACTGGCCTTTGTTCGTACAATTATGGCCACCTTTTTGCCTTTTTTAATGCCACGTCGATGGATGCTCCAGACTGGCATCGCTTATTTAGTACCGCCCAAAGGGGCTTCTCTACCAAGGAAAAGGAAAACCACAGCAGGAAACAAAAACCATGCTGCCTTTTAAGTCCACTTCCGTCATTTATATTTAAAAACAAAAACAAAGAGCCGCATCGTCCGATGAACGGGCTGATATTTTCTCTTCCAGTGGAAATGTCAGAAACATCAACTCTCTTGGGTCTGAAGATCCTGAGTTGGCTTTGTCAACGGAGTCTCTCGCTCTGTGGTTTTTCTGAATGGGCACAGCTGGTGGCCCAGTTGCAAAAAAAAGTTCCTTACACGGTTAACCTCTCCTTGGCCAGTAGCTTTCTGAGAACTGACCTGCAGTGTCTCTGCTCCATTTCCCTCCCTGCTCGAAAAAACAGCAGTTCTAAGGATTAACCCCTACCCCTACATCCACTAAGCCAAGAACACAACACGAACTGGGAAATGCCCGGCTTTCTTAGCCAAACGGGCCCTACCTACCAAATTCTAGACCACGCACAACATCTGGCCTAACACTGAGTTGTCACACTTAAAGTACCCATACACATCACAGTGGCTTCCAGGCCTGGGGAGGGCAAAGGCTATCTTCTCCTAGGGCTTCTTTCCCTAGCTCTTCGGGTCCTTGCACCAAACGCCAGCTCCACTTCAACGCGGAGCCCCCACGGCCATGTCTGTGCTCTTCTCCCAAACCAAGAAAACCCACCTCTCCATCTACTACGACTACCAGCCTCCCCTCCCCAATCCTCCCATGGGGCACAGCCTCCAGGAAAGTGGCTTGCCGGAAGCCTCTTTTTACGTGGTTCCGTTGCAGGGCCCGACTGTGAGCTTCAAGGCTCCTTGGTGGTGTAGGAGCTTTAATGCTTTGAATTCCAAAGGCATGGTGTGAGGACTGGCCTGGGACATGTAGCCATATTTCAGGCGGTCATAGTAGTGGTACTTGACGGGGTTTTGGTCTGGATCTTGGGGAAACGGCCAGAAACCATAGAGGTAAATCTGGTTGCAGAAGCGAGTTGCCAGGGTGTACATCAATAAACCAGTAGTTGGACGCTTGATGTACACTTTGTTCGTCAGCCAATACCTGGAAAGGGACAAAAAAAAAATAATACAAGAAATTGTTAACTTCTTTTGGCATGAGTTTCAGACCACTGGGGGGGGGGGGGGGAGATGCTTCTTTACACAAACAGCCTCATCATCACTGCCAAAAAATTTTGGAGCAGTTTGGAGACAAAAAATCAATAGGGGCTAAAAATCAGTATCTATAAGTTCTCAGCAGACCTTGAGAATGTCAGACGATGAAGAACAGGAAAATAACAAAGAACAGCGATGAGTGGAAACCACTGGAAGACAGAGGTAAAGGGGAAGACGACGGCGATGAAAGAAAGATACCTGCTGGAATTTCCAGCAGAACTTTGAAGTAACAAGTTGCAAGCTGTCAACTTAATCTGCTCACAAGTAGCTGAAATGACCTAAAAGAGGGAGTTGATTTCATTTTGAAGCTGGTAAGATTTATTCCTAGGTGAGCCAGCATGGCATCAATGTTAGGTTCGCTAAGGTTGCTATTGATTTATTTTGATTTTGAGGCTGCTCAACTTCTCAATGACTCTGGGAGGTTTGCAATTAAAGGAATAAATACAACACATGTCAAAAGAAAACAACCAATTTGAAGGCTAACTCAACACCCAAAGAAGCAAAACCATACAATGCTCCAATTTCCCTCACTCAAGGCCTGGAAAAACAATCAGATTTTTAATAAGTGGTGGGGATTTTTGGAGGAAAGTCAGTAAGATAGGAGCAAAATTGGACCCGTCCTGCGGAAAGTCATTCCAGGACTGCCAACTGAGAAGGCTTACTTCTTGGGTCCCATGAGATGACATCGTTTAATCGAAGGGACCTGAAATGCATCCACTCTGCCTGATTGGATGGAGGTTCTAGCAGGGGAGCGCAGCTATCGTATACCCTTGACCGAAGATCGGTACACTCCTTCTATCTGGGATGGTCGTCCTCTTCCACCGAGCGCGCAGCTTCGGGAGGGATGCACATGGAGCGGTGAGGGAGGAAGGGGACACCCGCCTAGCCAGCCAGATCAGCCGAATCAACCCTGACGATCAATGGGGTGACAGATGTCGCAGCCAGATCGCCTTCACAAGGATGGGACCTTGGAGACCTTCTAATACTACCTCCTGTACAAGCAGGAGACCCTACACCATTTCAGACAAATGGCTCTCTTCTCTTCATAAAAGCCTCCAGTGATAGAGCATCCACAACTTCTGAAGGCAAGTGGTTCCATTGCTTAATTGTTCTCTCTATCAGGAAATTTCTCCTTAGGAAGGAATCTAGGCAGGAATCCTTGCCTCTATTGTATTGTCTAAGACACAACTGTTGAAGGATAGCATAAGCATCAAGCAGCGATTAGAGGGAGATTCTAAGATAAACAGTTGCAGAAATTTGGAAAGTGGCCCTCCATCCAGGGCCACTGGAGGGTCTCCAAATGGCCTTTCTCCACCAGCTTCTAACCACTAATGATGCCCTTTATTCCCTCTGCTGGATCTCCCAAAGCAACACCTTCACCTCATCTTCAACCCATGAGTCAGTCAGGCTGAATTTGTCCATAATTGCAGCAGGATCCAAACAACCTGTTTCCTCACATTCCTCATGTACAGGTAGTCCCCAACTTACAATTATTCATTTAGTGGCCATTCAAAGTTACAGTGGCACCGAAAAAAAGTGACTATGACCTTTTTTCACACTTAGGACCGTGGCTGTATGGTCACATGATCAAAATTCAGCCACTTGGTAGCTGGTTATTCATATTTATATGCAGTTGCAGAGTCCCAGATCATGCAATTCCACTTTTGTGGAATCTTCTGTCAACGGGGAAGCCAGATTCACTTAACAATCAGGTCAGGGGTAGGATGCAAATATTTTTATTACTGGTTCTGTGGGTGTGACTAGGTGGGAGTGGCTAGGTGGGCATGGCCATGTGGTTGGATAGGTGTGGCTTCTTTTTGTGTGTGTGTGTGCCGCATCCCCTTCCCTGCGCTCCATTTTTTTTGGCCTTCTGGGCCTCAGGGAAGCCTCCTGGGTGAAGCAGTAAGAGAGTGAGGGGGATCCTGGCACAGCTGATTGTCAGAACAGCTGATCATTGGGAGGAAAACAAGAAAAATAGAAATACCGGTTTGGGCAATCTGGTAGCTGGTTTTTTATTACCAGTTCAGCTGAACGATAGCATTTTTACTACCAGTTCAGGTGAACCAGGCTGAACCGGTAGAATCCCACCACTGAACCAGGTGTCTAACTTAACAACTGCAGTGATTCACTTAACGATTATGTCATGAAAGCTCTTAAAATGGGCCAAAATTCAACTGTCTCACTTAGCAACAGAAATTTTGGACACCACTGTGGTTGTAAATTGAGGACTACCTATATTTCATTCCAGGCTTGGTTTTCTTCTGACATCAGGTTGGATGGAAAGCCCTTCAGCTCAACAGAAGGAAAAGTCCAAAGGCATAGGGTTTAGTTAGCAACCAAAAGATGTACTGTCCCAAAGGGCTGTCTGAAATTGTACAGGTTCTTCTGCTTGGGCAGGGGGGCTGGACTAGAAGACCTCCGAGATCCCTCCCAACTCTGTTCTATTCTAAAGGTGCTTTTCCAAGAGGCAGCTGGACTTCTCTTTGCTTTTCCTTGAAGATGTTTCGCTACATCCAAGAAGCTTCTTCAGCTCAGTTCAGAAGCGAAACGTCTTCAAGGGACAACAAAGAGAAGTCCAGCTGCCTCTTGAAAAAGCACCTTTGGGACAACCCTGACCTGGATGACTGAGAGCCTCCATAGACAAAATATGTACCTGCAAGAAACCAGAAGCTTAGAGGTCAACAATGGATCTAACAGAGGCAGAGGGGCAGCCTTAGAGGCACAGCCCCTGTTCTCCTTACAGATGGTGTGCTTGGAGATCCCAGTTGCTCAGGCCAAATCACAGCGAGAGCAAAAGGCAGCGAGTTTTCTGTTCCATTCCTGACCAGCTTCAAGAAAGATTTGCTGCCAACAAACACCTCCCTCTCCGCTTGGCTAAACACCTGAGCTCATAACAAAGGCTAATTAATTTTGCAAGTGTATAAACAATGTGGCATCGACTGCGTGTGCCACCACTGTTGTGCGAGATTCCAGGTTTTAATGAGAAGGCTGGCAGAAAGGGCATAATTATTTCCTTACTGCCAACCCACCGACTACATCATTTGGCGTTGCTATTACTACTCGAATTGACTGAGGCAGCTGTGGGGGAGGGGGAGGAAAAACAAGCCGACATCTGTTATTGGGTACGGGGTTTTCTGTGAGCTGGGACGGTTGTGCCAAGCTTCTCCCTTAGTTGGAAAAATACTATTTGCACGGAAGGGTTTATTTTGGAGTAGGTTAGTCCCTTGGATGCCAGGGGACTCATGAAGGTTAGTGCAACCGAAACAAGCAGGGTTTAAATCAGGAGTTCTCCATACGAGAAAAACCTCCTACATCTTTCTGCCTACAAGCCATCAGTCAATTGGGTGAAAGGAAATCTGCTTTCCAAATTCATTTCAAAGAAGAAGGGAACTTTGGTGAAATTCTCAGGTATGGAGTAGGATGGTATGGCACATTTAGTGATGTGGTCGTGCAGAGGTGGCATTCAGCCGGTTCTAACCAGTTCTGGAGAACCGATAGCCAAAATTTTGAGTTGTTTGGAAAACCGGCAAATATCATCTCTGACTGGCGCCGCCAACCCCAACTATTCTCTGCCTCCTGAGTCCCAGCAGATCAGCTGGGTCTTCTTTGGTTGCCCTGCACAGGAGAACAGAGCTGGAAAGGAGGTTAGTGGGGAGGGAATGGAGATTTTGCAGTATCCTTCCCCTGCCACATCCACCAAGCCATCAATCCATGCCATACCCACTAAGCCACGCCCACAGAACTGGTAGTAAAAAATGTGGCAGCCAAGTGGGAAATGAGGCAAGTGACCTTAGGGAACTATGCAAGAGTTTGGGACACCAGGGACCAGTTCCATGGAGAGAGGATTTTCCACGGATCAGAGGAGGCATGGTTTCGTGTGTTGCCTGCATCCTGCAAATGGGCCTTCATTTTGTTTGTGTGGCCCGCTTGCTGGCATTCCACAGCCCGGTACTGGTCCATGAATGGTGGGGAGGTTTGGGAACCCTAGATCTGGGTAAGGAGGGCTGAAACATTCTTAAAGTCCTGGGAAGCAAAATAATGACTCCGTTAAATGCCTGAGTGTAAGAGAGTGCGGATGTAGCACAATCAGACATACAAGAATCTGTTACTATACAGGTAATCCTCAACCTACAACAGTTCATTTAGTGACCATTCAAATGTATCAGAGTATATTTATGAACTGGAATAGAGATTGGTAACAAGGTTAGCCAATGAATAGGCATAGCAACTAAGTCAACCAATGAGGGCTGTTTTAGAACCTGAAACTAGAATTAGCCGAGGCTGGAAACTGAAACTAGAAGTAGCCTAGGCATGGCTCTTTTATTAAGCTCTGCAGCACTGAAACTATGTTGAGCTCTGAGTCTGTCTATTGAGAATGAAACTGCTTCTGTCCTCTGCTTGCCTGCTGAAGTAAAGTGAAACTGATGTCTGTTTCAGAGCCCCTGAGTTGCTACTGAAGTGACTTGCAACATGTTCCTGTCTGAGTTTGCTCCATGTTGGAGAAATCTACAGCTGGTTTGTAAAATCTACTTATGTTTATAAAAGATGTTAAATGAAGTACCAGCCATCTGTGTTTATTTTTCTGGCGCTAAAATAACACTGTGAAATCCCGAATAAAATGGCACTACAAAAAGTGACTTATGACTGTTTTTCACAATTATAACCCTTCGGTGTCCCCGTGGCTCATGGGATCAAAAATTTGGACTCTTGGCAACTGACTCCTATTTATGACAGCTGCAGTGTCCTAGGGTCATGAGATCCCCTTTTGCGACCTTATGACAAGCAAAGTCAATGGGGAAAACAGATTTGCTTAACAACTGTGTTATTATCTTCAAAACTGTGGTGATTTACTTAACAACGGTGGCAAGAAAGGTCGTAAAATAGGGCAAAACTCACAAATGTCTGACTTAGTAACAGAAATTTGGGGCTCAATTGTGGGCATAAGTCAAGGACTACCTGTAATTAGTCTATCTCAATAAAGCATAGTTCTAGTTTTCTTGTAGAGTTGACTTTTATAATGTGCTCTACCCAGTCAGGCTGAGACCAGGGAATACTGTACACATTTTTTATTGTCCAGTCCTCTCTCCAGCCAATCACAGCCTCCCTGGCTGCCCACATTTCCAGTATTAAATCCCAAGGAAAAAGCCAGGAAGGGACTTCTCTGAGGGTTTTTTCACACCAGGAAACTCTAAAATGACAGAAAGATAGGAAAAATAGCACCAGGAATAGCTCCCTCTATCCCTTTAATAAGAAACTGAGCTCAGAAACACTACAGAAATTATTTAGAATAAATTTCCAAGCACTCCACAGGTAACATAAAAAACCAAAATCTTCTTTCACAGAAAAAAGAAAGAAGAAAGCTTCCAGAAATTGCAAGGCTTGTTCTGATCTTCGTCAAATCGTGCCTACCGTCCCTGTTGTGCTGTCCAGCCAGTGTACGGGAATTGGATAGCTAGGTAGCAATTGTGAACTGTCCCCTTAAGGGAATGCATCATGGTCAATGTAGCTAAGGTATCCTGGGAAATGTAGTCCATGTCACGTGATCACATCTGTAATGCTAATTGGTCACTAAATTGACCCTCGATGGGTTGGGGAAGGTTTTTCTCACTCTTGGCTGAACTCATGGACTCATGGTAACTGTTCTACTTCTATCATGACAAGATGGGAGAAAAAGGATAGGAGATAAACCACCTTTTTACCTACAAGGCAGATATGCAAAGGATCGGTCATTAAAGAAGAACTTCGTCACAAATGTGAGTTATGAGGATTACCTGATGAACCAATGAAAATACTTTGTTATGGACGTCTTGTGGAGTTCATCTACCTGCATCTGTACAGAATACAGAACACCTGTCCTATTGCCCCCATTTATTTGTACCTATTTCCTGTATTCGTACTCATGTTTATACTTATATCTATTATCTTGTAAGCGATTGACAAATCAAATAAATAAATAAAATAAAATCATCAAGAAAGTTTATGGATCTTCAATAATCAGATTTTACAACACACGGAACAAACTTTCTTCAAGTCAAGCTTAAATCCTGCTAATGTCTCAGAGACACTTATGCATTTTTCATGGTGACAACAAGGAGGTGGTTGATCACTGCCTTCTTCTGAGAGAGTTTTCAAGTAGCCAATTTAGCATTATGCCTGAGATTTCCGAGTAGTTTCTCATCCAAATATTATCCCAGTCCAATCTCGCTTAGCTCCCTGCTTATACTATCAGTTGAGCTCCATGTTAGAGTAAAACATTGATTCTCCAAGACTTATAAATTGAAGAACAGATTCATTAATCTCAATGCTTAAGTAACAATAATCTCTTTATCAGCATTAAAATTATCAGAATTTGTCTGTCTGCTGTCTCTCTATTTCTCTCCCTCTCCTATCTATCTATCTATCTATCTATCTATCTATCTATCTATCTATCTATCTATCTCTGTCTATCTATCTATCTATCTATCTATCTATCTATCTATCTATC